CAGGATATGAATTCACATGGGAAAAAAGCCAACATCTTGGTGGTTTTATAGAAGAGAGATTGGATCGGTTCATTGTGACTACCAGTTGGCATGATCAGTTTAAGGAGGCAAGAGTTTGCCACTTGGAAAAGAGGAGATTGGACCATCACCCTATTGTGTGTGATACTTGTGGTGATGAGGATGAGGAGCCTAAGTGAGACTGGATCTTCCTCTTTGACTCATTTTGGACTAACCATGTTGAATGTGCAGGGGTGATTATAAAAATGTGGAAGGCGGGTGGTGATGGGGATGCACTAGCCAAAATCTATTCTCGCCGAATGAAACTAGAAGAATGGAGCCGAAGGACATTCCCAAACTTTAAAAAGCGTCGCGAACGTATCGGTCGAGCTATGAAAGAGCTGATAGAGTTGTAAAGATGGAAGCAATATTGCAACAGCGAAAAGACCTAGAGTCTGAGATGGAACAACTAGAGGAGGAGGAAAAGCAATACTGGCAACAACGATAGCGAACGACTGGCTGAAAGGCGGGGACAAAAACACGAATTTTTTTCATCGAAAAGCTACTGCCCGCCGAAGGAGAAATGCAATGAAGAGATTGCAAGATGAGGATGGGCGCTTGTACCTGGGGACGAAGCAAGCCACTGATTGTAAACTTGATTATTTTAATCCTCTGTTTACTGCAGGTGTGGATCCCGTTGAGACATCGGTGTTGGACTCCATTAAAAGCTCAGTTGGAGTGGAGGAGAACGCCTAGCTGCTTAAGCCAGTAACCAGGGAGGAAGCTTGGTTAGCCTTGAAACATATGGGAGCTCGGAAGGCCCCGGGAGTAGATGGTCTACCGGTACTGTTCTTTAGAAAATATTGGGAGGTGGTAGCGGAGGAGGTGGTCGCCACGGTCAAGGGAGTTATGGAGGAAGGCATAATGTTCATAGGCTCATTGCACTAATATCTAAGGTGAAAATCATGTTACGCAAAAGAGATTAGGCCGATTAGTTTCTGTAATGTCATCTATAAGATGGCATCGAAAGTACTCGCAAACCGACTGAAGGTTCTGTTGGATAAGATAATCTCACCTTCGCAGAGTGCCTTTGTGCTAGGGTGGTATATCACAGATAATGTCATGGTGGCTTTCTAATGTTTCCATTCGATGACGAAAAGAAAGAAGGAAAAGGTTGGATATTTTGTGGCAAAGATTGATCTAGCAAAGGCATATAATCGGGTTGAGTAACGCTTCTTGGAGGGCGTCCTGAGGAAGATCGTTTTTCTGGAGGCGTGGATAAGTCGAATAATGTTGTGTGTTCGATCAGTAACATACTATGTTTTGGTCAATGGACATCAATCTCAACAGTTCTCACCGAGAAAAGGGATAAGAAAGGGTGACCCTCTGTCACCATATATTTTTTCTTCTTTCTGTTGAGGGTTTGTCTGCATACACAGAAAAAGCCATTAGAGAGAAACGGATACATGGGATTCATCTTACAGAGGGGGCACCAGAAATATCTCATCTCTACTTCACATATGATAGCATTTCCGTTGGGGGTGCGACACAAAAGGAATGTAGCACATTGAAAGGTATCTTGGCAGATTATGAAAGAGAATCCGGGCAACTAGTGAGTTTTCAGAAGTCGGAAGTAGCTTCAGTAAAAATGTGTCACCGCATTCGAGACTGATAGTCGAAGGAACTTTAGGGATGACTATTATTGAGAAGAATGAGAAATACTTGGGGTTAGTGACTACAGCTGACCGGTTGAAGAAGGATTTGTTCCCTAGAATGGTGGATTGGATTCGGAAGAAGTTAAAGGGATGGAAGGAGAGGGTCATGTTTGTCGCAACAAGAGAGATACTGATTAGTTAGTTGCCCAAGCCTAGTTATCCTACGCAATGTCGGTTTTTAAGATTCCAGATGGTATCATTGACCAGGTACATAGTCTGATAACAATCTTTTGATGGGGGCAACATGGCTCAGAGAAGAGAGCTCATTGGACCAGAAGGGAAAATTTTATTGGTTCTAATTTTGAAGGAGCTATGGGTTTTTTACATTTGGAGGGTTTCAACGTGGCGCTATTAGCTAAACAACTATGGAACTTGTACCAGCGGCTTGATTCGCTAATTGTGAAGATTCTACAAGCTAAATACCATAAGAAAGCATCCATTTTGGATGCTAATGTGGGACATAGTACGAGTTATATATGGCAAAGTTTGATATCGGTGCAGGAGTTCCTACAAAGTGGCTTGCATTGGCGCATCGTGAACGATGATAGGGTGCGCATTTGACAAGATAAATGATTACCCAACAGCAATAAGGGCTTCATTGTCTCCCCCCCCCCCCCCCCCCCCCGAAGGGACTCTCGAGTTAGTGAATTAATTGACCCCGATACGGAAGTATGGGATAGGGAAGTTTTGGAGGGATGTTTCCCTGAGGAGGTGATCAAACAAATCACCCAAATTCCCTTGCATGGTATACAGGAAAATGATCATTTGTTTTGGAACTCGGTCGAGGATGAGAGATACTCCGTGCGTTCAGGTTACCAAGTCTGGCTGCATAGTAAGAAGGAGGAACTGGGTTTCGGCCTAGTAGGAGAAGAAATGGTTTGAAAAAAGCTATGGGCTATGGAGATTGCACCAAAAATTAAACATTTTATATGGAAGTTTGCGAGGGAGATTCTTCCTACAGGGGGATAATATCAATGTGAAGAAAAAACGACGCAGGAACAAGTGCCCATTTTGTGACATGGAAGAGAAGCAGTTTCATCTGTTTGGTGAATGTTCGTAGACGTGCCGTATTTGGAGACAATTCAAAGTGCTGATTGTTTTGAGTACCAGCCAGCACAAGATTGTTACCAGTGGTTGAAGCAAGTGATGGATATCGGGGATGATGCGGAGCTAAAAGGATGGCGTGTTCTCATGTGGTTTCTGTGAAAAGAAAGAAATGCTCAGTTATTTAATGGCAAAAAGATAGAAGAAGATGAGATAGTAGGGCGAGTACGAAACTACCTAGAGGACTAAAAGAAACAATCAGCTGCAATAGTCGAGGCTACTAGAGAATGAGATGTGAAAGGAACTAGACCAGGGCGTCTTCAAATTAAACACTGACGCCGGCTTTACAGATATGGTGGGTGCGAGATTAGGAGTTGTCATTCGAGGCCATGGTGGAACTTTTCTTCTTGCTGCAGCTAAGCAAGTTGTAGAATGCAAGGATGTTCAAATGGGAGAACGTTGGCGGCAGAATTCAGCCTTCAGTTAGCAAAACAATTCGAGACTGCGAATCCGATATTGGAGTAAGACTGTTTGTCACTTATTCAGAAGATATAAAACTCATAAGAGATACAGACAGAATTAGGAGTGGTGTGTCTCAGTATTCGGAGACTTCTGCACGAGATTGGTGGAGGCTTGTGGCGACATACAGGAAGGACAGCAAACGAAGCAACACATATTATGGCTCAATCTCGGATTGAATGAGGTTAGTGTTTTGTTGGATAGACCTCCCGTGTTTATGGTTAGTCAGTTGCAGCGTGATAATGCAACGGCGAACACTGATTAATGAAGTTTTAGCAGGTTTTCAGTAAAAAAAAAAAAAAGAGGTGGTTTGGGTTGCTTCTAACGGGGGCATCGAAATTGGGTTGGGATTTAATAATCCAGTCAGTGTCAACTCAGTCCACATGGACCAATTAAAAGCTGCATTACCGGCGCCGCACTTTTTATAGAGGCATCATAGTATTGGTCATTGTTGTAGCCGAGGAGAAATAAATTCATATACATATCTCTAATTTGTTAAATAATTTTCAGCACTTGGTTGAAATTGGACTCCCTAGTAGTGGGCTATTAAGCCCAAACAATGTTACCGTAATCTAGGTCAATGAATACAAACCAAATGTCAAACATGTTGATTAGTATTGTTGAGATGGCCGAGTTGGTCTAAGGCGCTAGATTAAGGTTCTGGTCCGAAAGGGCGTGGGTTCAAATCCCACTCTCAACATTTTGTTTACTTTAACGAATTATGGACTATCTGTTCTTGTTGGGACACTTTGTAATGACCTCTTGAATGAAGAAGACACTTTGTAATGACCTCTTGAATAAAGAATATGGACTATCTCTTCTTGTTGGGACACTTTGTAATGACCTCTTGAATGAAGAAGCTGAGCTTTTCGGAAGAAGAATTAAAGAATATGGACTATCTCTTCTTGTTGGGACACTTAGTAATGACCTCTTGAATGAAGAAGCTGAGCTTTTCGGAAGAAGATTCGAACTTACAATGCGACATTAGTTGGTAATAATTTTTTGCTCCTTTACATGAAAGAGTATTCAAGAGCCATATATATAGTATCCCCTCTTATGAGAAATTCCAAACACAAAAGCATCGTTCTTCTTTTAAAGTCTATCAGCACTCAATAGCCTTCTTTCTAATAAGAAAAGTATAAAACTCTCATGTTAGGTACCTCCACAAATTGAGAATAAAATGAACAATATATACATGTATACGCTAGAATTGATAAAAGTAAATGAGTTTGTACTCAACTATATGTTTTGTCTTGAAGCAATTTTAACATAATCATTTGTCCAAGCAATCTACCTCAATATATCTTGTGCTCATTCTAAACAGGGATGCATGGAAGCATATCCCGATAAAAATAAACCCAGAGATAATGGGTCTTATGCCCGTTCATACTCGATATCACCCAATCTGACCCAATGTTTTTAGCTAATATATGCTCATATTTTATGTTATTTTGACTCATCATAAGTTGATCTAGTTACAAAATCCGTGCAAGGTAATGCTTCAAATAATTTTGGTTCACTGTTACATTATCAATGGTTTGTTGAAAAATTGTTTTTTCTATATAAAAAAACAGGAAGCGTACATTTTAAATGTCATAATAATACGTCTCGATCTGAACATATATAATCATTCCTGGATGTTCTCAAAAACCGAGTCACAAATGACAGGTTCGAAAAGTAGTTGTATTAAAACACACTAATTTCAATGCATAGTCTACATGAAAATGTGATTGAGAAATTATATTCAGTCCATTCCATCATCACCTGTAATAGTTTTCCTCAAGCATTACCAGCAACTGCCAACTGCCAACTGCTAGCTTTACAAACAGCTTGAACCAAAACACCATCCATATATATAGTTGCAGACATATATAGAACCCATGCATGCACACAAGAGAGATCAGTAGGCAGCAACAACAAAAGCTTATCATATATCTAGCTAGCTGCTATTCTGCTACATACAACATTCTCCTCAGATTGTCCCCTTGCCCGGAAAAATGGAAAAGTATTACACGATGGACGATCGTCTTACATTCTTGAGGTAACATATTATACGAACTCCCATGCATGCATTGGGCTCATTAATTGACTTAAGCAAAGAAGAGGAAGTGTACGCCTTAATTAATGGCGTGGCCGGCGGTCAGGGACCTAAGCGGTAAGGTCCATCGCCCATGTTATAATGAGCAGTCTCCCCCATGTAGAGAGCAGCGTTCTGGTGCGGGTGCAGCCCATCCATCACCATGAACTGCATGTCCTCCGACGGCTTCCAGTGCCGCTTCCGCTGGTTGATGAACCAGTTGTTTATCTGCTTCTGGTCCAGCCCCGTCGACTCCGCCAGCGCCACTTTCTCCGACTCCTGGAGATAACCAGTATTTTCAATTAACAAACGAACAGAAGTGGATTTAAGAACATATATAGATGTATGTGTTTTACTTTACGTACCGATGGGTAAGGCCACTTGTAGTGAAGCTCCCACCAGCTGAGCAGCTTCTGGCGGGCTTCTTTGGGGAGCTTGCCTTTCTTCTTCTTCTTGGACAGCTCCTGCTTGAGGCTGCTGAGGTAGCCGCTGTACTTCCTCAGGAGGTGGTTCTTCAGCTCCCGGTCCTCCGCTCGCGGGTCGATCTCCGGGAGCTCCGTCTCTCCTCCGCTGTTGTCCGGGTCCTCCTCCGATGACCCACCTGCCCCCTCCGACTTCTCATCTGGTGCCGTTCCATTTCATTTCATCAACAAGGACAAAGTTAGTCATCTAATTCGTTATAACAAGAAGCTGCATCATGTATACATAATATCAGCTTTGAAGATTGATTTGAGTGACCCACATGCACGCAGATTGTAGAGATATATCATCAATCACTAGCTACACACTTGGGTATGATTAATGAAAAAAAAAACCATATATTAGGTTGCAACCAAGTTTAGATTTCACTATATCATCCAAAAGACTGGCTTATTTCTCAGCATATATATCATACAACACATAACAAAGCCACCTTCCACCACTCACTCTTTCTTCCACTCTACTTTGGCCAACCGATCGAGAATCAATCAGTCTCAATAACTCAAATTTCTTTGGAGAGGTTCAATAATAAATCTTATTCCACATGCTAGCAAGTCCTCCAAACAAAAGCCACTCATATGTACTTGAAAATTGCAAAGACATCAGACACCATAAGCTTATCATTGGGAGCCATCGGGATTCAAACAAAAGACATTTCAATCACTAAATATTCTAATATCGTATTATGAACCAATTTTTCTCAATAACTCAAATTATTCAAAGAATTTCAATAAGAAGCCCTATATCAAATACCGGATAAAACTAACACACGAGGTATACCGTTTCTCATGACATAAAATTGACGAGATGAACATGTATAATTACCCGCCATCAAAGGACCCACGCAGAAAATTAACCAAGACTGAAAGTAAAATGAAAGAGACAATGTTCAAATCAGGCAACCAAGCAAATTCACAGGCCACTGGCTACGTAAGTTCTGCCTCTTTCTTTTGTATATAAAATTTGGGTGGTCGGTCCACACTGCCAACAAGAGAAGCCAAAGTGCAGAATGGTGACAAAAGTGAGACACTGTGAAAGGAGAGGAGAGGAGCCTCAAAGCAGTACTACTCATGGCCTACATTGGTTTAGTTGCACCATCTTCATACCATCCTATTTTATATATTCAACACAACAAATTAAACCACCAGCATTTGCAGAGTAATTATAGGTGGCAAACAGTTTTGTGCCAGCTGCTAAGACAAATTAAGCACGGACAGGATTCTTGGAAATCATAAAGGCAACAGAGCAAAAAAGTTTTGATAAAAAAAACGGATGGTGGAAATGGAAATTTAGGAACAACATTACATGGCTACATGTATGTGACAAGACCGTATAGGCAAGGAGGCAAGGTTACATGGATGACTGTCGACTGATGAGGGTAGTAATGGAGGATTTGATTTGAACAGCATCCTAGGTTCCCCAGTCCCACCACACACACTTCACTAATTCATCACCCCCCAAACAATCTCATTACCATACATCCCCAAAGAAGATTGAGTGAGTGAGTTAGAGGGTTTGGTTTCCTGATTAGCGAGCTAATGATGTCAGGTTTAGCTCTCATAATGAAAAACACGAGCCTACATTGTATCATTCAAGAGGGAAAAATCATATTTTTTGGAGTGAACATTCAGCTCTAATTAAATAGATTGAAAAAAAGACACCTTCGAAAGAAAAGACGCCAATAAACAAAAACACCAACATTGTCAGAAACGATGACGCAAGGAACGTGGAATACCTACCATCATTTGTTTTTGTTTTTGTTTCTTAAGTATTAGTGGCGGGGTTTGGCCACAAAAGTTCTCCATGTCCTCTCTCTCTCTCTCTCTCTCTCTCTCTCTCGGGTCGAGAGAAGAAATGAAGGGCGGGTTACGTTGTTGAATGTTTGCTACGTATTTAGAGTGACAGTGTCGATTAAACCCTCATTAGCTACCCGTGAAACTTTGTTGGGTTTCACGAAGTTGGCAGTAGACTAGCTAGCTACTGTTCATCATCTTCCCCTTTTGTCTTTATCTAGCTTCATCCATCTCCATGGCGATACGACTTTAGATTAATAGCTGGGAAAAACGGAGGGAAATTATAACAAGTGTGGGTTTAGTTATTTAGTTACCCGAGTTGAAGACGCGGAGGGGAACGTTGCACATCATGTTGAGCTGAGTCTCGATGCGGCGCATGAACTCCATGGCTTCCTGGATCGGCCGAGTCAGCTCTTCCCTGTACTTCACCAGCATGTCGTAATACGCCTCCTGCAATTTTTTGTACGTTCCCAATAGTCATCATTAGGTTCAGATTAGATCCCACACCCAAACCCACTAATGAGATTCTGCAGTGTAAAGATACCATGAACTGATCAAGCTCGGGGTCCTTAGAAACAAGATTACTGTCCCGGCCGGAAGACCTCTGCCTGGACTCAAACTCCTGCCGCGCCGCCGCCAGTCTCGCCACCACTTCCGGCGGAGCACCCACCTATACAAATACAGCCCACAACAATCCACCATCGTCACGTGTCAACAGAGACACAAATTCAATACATGGATGGATTGGAGAGAGATTAGATTAGATTAGATTCGGGAGAGAATGGAAATCCCATTAAACTATTTTGTTTTTTTTTTTTTGTTTTTAATAATCGGTCTTTTCCGAATTAATTAATGACAAAGAATCGAGTTGAATGTATTATTATTATTATATTATATGAAGATCGATCAAGATGGCCGGCAAGAGAAAAGGGAATGAATGAACACGAATAAAATAAAATTTAACACATACTGTTTATTATTATTGGTTTAACTACTTACCTAATCATACCGGATAATCAATTAAATTAAATGAAATACCTTTTGGCAATCCATGTAAGCTTCCATGAGATTGGAGTAGTGAGGATGGGAGACGATTTTTGCCTTCAGCGCTTCCACTTCCCCGCCACCGCCACCGCTGCTGCTCGAATTCTCGTTGCTATTGTTGTTATGAAGCGGCTGCTGCTGGTACTGATGCTGCTGATCTCTGAGGAGGGAGTAGTGGTGAAACTTGTGGTGGTGGTGGTGGCTGGAAGACCCACCGGCGGCGGCGGGTGATTCGGTCTTCACCGACGAAGGATGATCGGACGGGAAATTGGGGCTGCTATTATTATTGTTGTTGAGAAGGTGGAAGGGAGTCAAACTGCTGGACCCACTGCTTGTTCTTCCGTAAGGGGAAGTCGAAGATGACGAATTGGTATTATTCGGACCACCAAGCACCGGCGACGCGTACAGGAAATTCCCCCTCGCCGCCATCCCTCCTCCGCCGCCGCCCGGTGAGCTGTTGTCGTTCATTTGGTGGTTGCTACTGTTGTTGTTGTATTCCTCCATCAAATGGAAAATAATAATCTTATGGAAACCCTAGCAGTCTGTAATCAATATAAAAACCCTAGAAAAGAAACTTATTTTCAGATAAAAGGGAATCAGGTGACGAAGTAGGAGACATGGAGGAGGAGGAGAAGAGAATCAGTGGAGTTGCAGAACCATGGAGGAGTACTACGGTTGTTCTTAGTGTTGTTGGACATGGGTGGTTTTTTTGTTTCTGTATATAAACTGAGGAAGGGATTTGAAAAGGATAATTAAGGGGTAATTATTTGGAATGAACAGAAATTACAAGGGAAAGATTTTTATTTTCTTAATCAGTGGAGTTTGCTTGTTGTTTGGTTTCGCACAAAGGGAAGAGGAAGGAGGGTGGGAGGTGCCATAAGAATTCAGAGCAGGGAAATTAAAGGGGCTGCTGGGTTGCTTGGGTGGATGACAAGACTTATTTCTCCTTTCTTCATTTATTTAATTTTTCTCGTGATTTTTTTACTATTTTTTATTAAAACGGAACGTTAATAATAAAAATAATAATATCAAGGAAAGAAAAACACATTTTGATTATTAGAAAAAGCAAACAATCAACGACCACATAGAGATAAGGGTATTGGGGCCGCGACTAGCTAGCTTTGCTTTATTTTCTTTTCTTTTCTTTTATATTTATTTTTATTTGTTAGATTCAAGTTACGGCCAAACCCAATCACTGCAAAGGGAATCATTAGCAAGATTGAAAGCAGATTTAATAAATTAGCGGTTTAAAAACAAAGCCCAACATGGATTGACAATCGGGATGGGATACGTGGGGGGTTTTATTGTTGGTCAGAAATTGTAGAAACGTGTGGGATCATCTTGTACATATAATATTTTGGAGGACTGTTTTGTACTTTGCCATCCCTAACCTTAGGGCATTGCTATTCGTCGCCCTAAAATTCTTTATTCGTCACCCTAATTAAGTTAAATTTACTCTAATACCCTTATTTGATTTATTTGTCCTTCTCTATGTCATCCGGATTTGGGTCAAATCCTATGATTGTTTATGACCAAGGTTTTTGTTAAAAACACACATTTAAGCCAAAGCTCTTCGCCAAGATTAGAGGAGAAAGGAAGTTCGCCCGAAAAGTTGATCTGTCGGCGGCGGATTTTGACTAGACGGGGAAGTTGATTTGAACATAGGGGATCTCATATCTGTTTTTTTTTTTTCCCGCCTGCGCACAGGGAAGGGCAACGCCCATCCGATACCCTAACTCTATTGGAGTAAAATTGATGACTAAATTGGCGAGAAGGATGAAATCAATGGCCTAAGGGCTAAGGGGACTCCTTGCAGGAGAAGAGAATTCATGGCAGAATTGGGGGCTGAAGAAATCAAGATGAAGGGGAAGAAAACCCATAAGATGGCGGAGCTGAAGGATGAACAGAATTTTGATTCTCGATTGCTGTAAGCCTGTAACCACCACTTCCGTCGCCACCGCTAGCTAATGGACTTGAAGTAACTTCCAATGAGCTACGACGGAGGGAGAGAAAATTGGGCTAGAGGTGAATGCGTCATTTCGGTGTAATTTAGGGCGATAAAATTCAAATTTTAGGGCGACAAATAGCAATTCAGTAACCTTATTACTCACATCGAGTATATAAGGGCAGGTTTAGAGCTTCGGTAGGTTATGATGTTGGCGCAGTAGACGAACTGCGGCATAGTAATATTGACTCGAGCTTTGGCTCATCGTGTAGTAGTTTCGTTCATACTGAACAGAGAAATCACGTAAATTCGGTGTCTTGCATATTTCAATTCCGCGCTATCTTATTTTACAGAAATCCTATGTATTCAAGTCGTTTGAGATGAAAGCTCTTGTAAACTTTATTTGCTTAAGGGGAAGGAGCGGACACATAGGTAGTTAATCCGGAGGTTGATATCAATCCATCCGCAAATAACTCGAACTGCAGGTAGTGGATGATTGATGTGAGTGGACTGAAGATTGATAAATCTCCTACTCGCACTTATGTGGGTGGGTGGATTGCGGGTTTACTCGAATGACATGCACCATATTTTCGCATGAAAAAATGTTGTTTGTTATACTATAGCATATTTACCATATTTTATAATCGCACTACACGCTGCTCCTCTACTTCTAAAAGTGGAGAATAAAGAGTAGTTTTTTACTAATATTATTTGTTAATGTGTTGTGTAATATCTATTAGATATTGTGATGCAAATCATAAACTATTAGTTATATCAAAGTAGCAAAATGCGATAGTTTTATCTACACAATTGGTTGATTTATTAATAAAATTTGAATGCAAATACTATATGGAATCACATGAGACAAACTGAGAAGTATCTAAATTGATACAGTCTTACAAATTTGCTAGGACCTTATTATAAATGTTAGTCAACTTTCATAATGCTAGCTGGAGAATTGCTTTTGTGGGTTAATCCACAATCCAACCGTACCCATCCACAACCCACCTAATCCAAGCCGCAGAAGAATGTGGCCGGATAGCAGATCACAATTACACCAACTCGCTAGTAAGCGGGTGGGCCAATTTGAGATCAAATTCTACCCAACCTGCCCATTGCCCACTCCTAGTTAGGGGGAGAGGGGAGGAATGCAAATTAGAGGATAAATACAATTTCCAATTAATTAATATTACCAATTTTTCCTACTCCTCGGGGTTGACCGTTTAACTCCGGGGGCAAGTTTGTTAATGTTCGTCTAGTCAAATCGAGATATCTTGGTTGACTTAAATTTGCATTGAAATTTTGAGAGACAAAGTGTTCATGAAAAAGGTAGAGAGAGGAACAATTTGGGTATTCAGTTTACTTGACTAAATAGTTAAAACTTTAAAATTTGAACGTGTTTGACTAAGTTACGAGTTAGGTTTTGAGTTTTAAGGTTATTCGACCAATAATTATTACAATTATTATAATTAATTACTATTTGATCAATACTATTAGGGGTGGAAATTGGGGGGCATATGCGGGTACCCACACCCACAAATTTGCATTATGCTACCTACAACCCGCACCGTAGTGGTTAGTGGGTAACCACTACTCACTGCGGGTTGCCGGGTTGGGTGTGGTTACCCACAAAAATCGATCTTTGCAAGTATGGAGTTGATGCCTCCACTAACGTATTTTTTGTTCGTAGCCAAATAGTCGTTATATAAAATTTTCTCGTTCGTGGAGATATAATTTTGTACATCGATCTTACTCAACGTGTAGATTTTTTTCTTTCCGAGTTTGGTATTCAACTTTTGTGTCAGAGAGCTGTGATTTCATATATGATCATGTATTTTCTTTCACACAAAATCAAAAACATATATATATATATGGTGGCTACTTCGGTGCACTCACTTTTTTTGGGTGCATTCAGTGCACCCACCTCTAAAAGTGGCCATAATACATCAAATTTTGAAATTTAATGGGTAACATTAGTCTCATATGATGATATAACACAAAATCACAACTAATCAACCCACTACCCTAACCTATTAACATTCAATTTTGAATCTAAACCCAAAATCCCAAATTGTAAACCCTAACCCTAAATTCCTAAACCCTGAATCATTCAAATTAAAGTGAATCTTGAATGATTTTTGTACAAATTCATGTGGTTCTTGTTCATCATACTACAAGTGATGATTGACATCGTTTTCACATGAATCGTCTGCTCAGCATGACAATTATGAGGCGGGTGCATTAAATGCACCCAAAAAAGTGAGTGCACCAAAGACATAACCATATATATATATGGGCAGTTCTACGGTACCCAGGGTGAAATCCAGGGTACCAAATATCTTGAGTATGAAAACGCTATCTAGACATTGAATTGATTGAATTTTCGGACATGATACTATACTCTAACCCTTAAAGATCACAATCTAGGCCTTAATTCTCTAAATCCTATACCCCGAGATCAATTTAATTAGAAACAATAATCGACGGTTATGATTCGCCCCAAATATAGGCAAAAAATGAATGCCCCATCTTAGGGTTTATAGTTTATGATTTGAATCACTAGGACCTAGAGTTCACTCATTAAGAGTTAGGGTATAGTATCAGGTCCAAAAATACTGTTAATTCAAGGTCTAGATTGAGATTTCCTACTCAATGTATACGGTACCCCGGATTTCGCTTGGGGTACCGTAGAAGTCACCATATATGTATATATAAGTCACTAAAGGTGCAAACTTTTAATGAGATGATTATTTTCCACTCTCTCAATTATAGTGTTTTGTAAATTAAAAAAATTCTCACTTAAAACTGCTTAGATGCGTATTTGATTGTGTGGCTACTTTAGTTTTTTTCTACCACTTCTCACATAGTATTATATTATAAAGTATTATTAGTAGATAAATATAATAAGTGTGGTTAATGTTGAATTGTTGATTTTGTGGGTTAACCACGATGGATACTGGATAACCACTAATCACAAAAGTTATTATTTTACTAGCCACATCCAACCCAGTACTCACAACTTGTGGGTATGGTTACCCACAATGGGTCCAGGTTGGCGCGGTTTGCAGGTTATCCACAAGCCGCAACCAAACTTTCACCCCTAACTACTATTGTAAATTATTTTAGTTAAAGTGTTTTTTAACATTTATTATTGCATATAATGAGTTTTATTTTTTATTTTGTAATAAAAAAAATTTTAATTTGAAAAAACTATATCAAATCAGGTTTCACCAGGACTTCCTAAAGGATTCTCGTGCCCTATTTATGATAAAATTTTATTTGGCCAAACTTAGTCAAACACCTTCATATCTGTCATTTTAACTATTTGACAAGGAAACGTGATCACCATTCCCTCTACCTTTCCCACAATCATTCCCTCTCTAATTTCAAATGCAAATTCAAATCAACTAAGAGATTCAAATTGATTGCCGATGTTTGGTCTGCCTTTTAAAAGTGCTTTTCGCCTTCAAAAGTTGAAGCACGATCAAACACCTCTAAAAGATCGTCTTTTAAAAAGCGGAAAAGTGCTTTTGTATAACATAAAATCAGAAACTCCGATTTGGAACTTCTGTGAAAAAACTATTTTGAAAATACAAGATTATCTTTATAATATTTTAATTTTTTTTCCGAAAATATAATTATCTTTCATTTATATCATTTTAAAAATAAAATAAATGATAAATCATATTATTTAATATAAAAGAAATCTAACAATTCCATTTGGACTAATATTTATTGTTTAGAATTTTATTTATATTTTATATTATAAATCATTTATAGTAATTTTACATAACCTCTGAGATTAAAAAGCACTTATAATAGTTGTCAAACACTCAACTGTTTTTTTTTTAACTACTTCTCTAAAAGCTAATGCCAGAAACTGCTTTTACAAAAATTACAACAGGCCAAATTAGCTCATTAT